GCTGTCAAGTGGACACTCAATATTTGCGTTTCTTATCTACCAACAATTTTCACCTTGTCAAACTCCTTGCCTTCCTCGATATTTCTACTGTCTTAGTTTATTACGCAATTACTTTGCATTCTTGATTCGGGTTTTTTAGCACTAGGTTAGTGATGCAGCAATTATACCCTATTGCTTTATAATACACTGTTATATGTTTATGACGTGTATAAATACGATTGTACAGCTTTAGAAAAGGATATCGTCGAAAAAGAAAATTTTCTTCGCTGAATTATCTCTTCCCTATGTCTTAGTAATCCTGTCGTGATTTCTCATATATTCTTCATGTATGGTAGGACAATGCGTTTATTGATTTCTGTCGATGACTTTGTGGATGATGTTGTACGGGCTAGGCGTCCTCTGATAAAGTTTGGTGGGTAATCGTTCTTCTCTAGAATAGACATCAGGTAGTCTTCTCCGTTTCTCCGTGAAGTTGTTGTACTGCAGAATGTTCTCGCTCTTTTGAATAAAGTCTGCACGCAACTAAGTTTGTGTGTTGTTGGATTGTTGCTACTGTAGTTGAGGATTTGATTAACGTATGTTGGATTCCTTTACATCTGGGTTTTCAGTCTTCCGACATTTGTCCTACCGACTAAAATATCCTTCATGCTGGACTAAATTCTGACTATTAAACTGTGTATGCTTCACTAGATACACTAAACAAGTTTCCTTATATTTGAAGTTTATGATGATTGAGTGGTAATCGTCATAGACTAAAACTGCAACTCATTATTATATAAAGTTCATTCTAGTGTGTGAGATAAATTCGGTGTCCGTATTTTTGATTGTACTACTAACAAGAAGATAGGATAATTTTGTCTAAAGATCAGTCTGAATAAAATCGACGTGAACTGGATAATTTATCAACCCTCAAAGTTATATCTCTCTCATTAGTAAACAGAACATTGGTCGCTCATTATGCTATAGGATTTGAAATATCTGATATGAAGATTCACTTGATAAAATGACAAAATGACTTGTCAAGATAACTGAGTAAGGCATCTCATGCAGCAGACAAGTAGTCCATTTATGCACTATGGACAGGACATCACCTTCGCCCACCTTAGTAAGCATCTCTCAGTTTACTTGGTCTTATGGAGAAAAGTACATTCAGCGTACACAGAGTCTAGTTTATAGGCTTACTTTATCAGCAGTTATACTCTTGAACACATTTTTATATGAGGACATTTGAGTACTACCAACATACACTTCAAAAAATATTGCAGAGTCCTGTGCGACAATTCCAAAAGCCTTCGGTGATTTCACCCAAAATCAGCCAAATCGTTGGCCATTCATAAATAATACCTTCCTGATCTTTGTTTTAAATTAAATTACCTGAATTCGCTAGCCTTGCAATAGTCAGAATATAGTAGTAATCACGTTTCCTCTAATGACTAACATTAGACTGTTTTTTGTTTTGTTTGAAAATGAGAATTCTTGATTGCTGAAGTAAACGAAGACGAGAGTGAGAGAAGGTCCTCATCGACGGCACTGGATGGAGGATATCGTAGGATATTGGTTTTCGACTCAGTAGCTCAGTGGTGACGTCCTGGCCACGGAACGTGGAGGTCCTGGGTGTATGAGGTAACTAGTATGGACTGCTGACGAGTCCCATACAGGAACAAAACCGGTCTTTAATGGTTCGTCAGTTGATGTTATTCCATGATAAGTGCCAAACTGAAAAAAATTCTTCACCAACCTCGAAGATGATTTTAAACACAACATTGCAGCTTTCTCTAGTGAAATGACCGAAACAAAGTTTTCTTCTCTGGGACACCTTTGCTTTACTACTTAATATTGGAATTTTCCATCCATCACGGTAGTACCTTCTACATATAGCCATCTTTAAAAATGTTCCTTGTAGGGTGTTCATTGTTTATTCAGCAAAACCATGACCTTAACACACTGCATGGATTTCAAAAATGATTCGAAACGTTATAATTTGTTTCGTGTTTGAATAACAAAGCCAACTCATAGATGATGACAAAATGATGAAAGAATAAGGGAAGGAAGACAAATAAACCCTTAACGTCAAATTGTTACAACTAGCATTGATTTGTTCTCATATAATAGACTACTTAATACAGAAATGTCCTTAAATGCTCATCCCAAAAATAACGTTCCATTCAGAAGTTGCATCAGACAAACGATCTCATCATCAAAATAAGTATACACAAAAGAAGTATTCCAAGGCATGTACGACTGTATTCCATTCCTCAAGCTTCATGATACAGAGAAAAATATTCTTCGCTGGTATCATATCAAATAACTGAAGAAAACTCCGCACGAAGCGATATTTACCAGTGATAATGACAACGAACAACAAAAACAAGAACCAATCACTGTCAAACTCGCCTGGATAATTAGTTCACTAGTTACTAGCCGGTCAGAAGCCCGGAGAAAGAGGGAAGGTTGGGTATACACTTTGCAACTCTACACCGGATAACCAATCCAACCAATACAGAAACTTCAAAGCATAGACAAAATATTAAAAATAAAAAAAACTCATTCCTCGCTGGAATCGGGAGACGAAATGACACCGGTTGTTGAAAGCCTTCAAGAAGCCGATTGGCCGACATGTCTTCACTCCCCCAATAAAAGCAAAAGTAAACATGTGGACATGGAATGTCCGCACCATGTATGAACCTGGCAAGACTGCCTACATTGCCAAGGAGATGAGAATGTATGGCATTGAAGTTCTGCGAATCTGTGAGAGATAAGCAGGTGGAATGGAAGTGGACTCTTCACACTATCAACTGGAGAGTCAATAATCTACTCCGATATCGCCATCCAGACAACAACCACAAGCACACTGAACTCTCGAGTGGCTGTCATCATGTCTCCCACTCAACAGCATCGAAGGCTCTCATACAGTGGGAAACAATCTACTCCACTGTCTGGATCAGGATCGTGACAGCAAGATGGATTCAACTCAAAAGGAAGGAAATTCACGATCATACTGTGCCAACACTACGTACCTACAAATAATGCAGATGAAGAGAAGAAGGAGGAATTCCACAGACAACAATCATTAGTACTAGACAAGACCACACTCCAGTTGGCGACGTCAAAATTTCACTCTAATGGGTTTGGTGACATGAATGCCAAACTGGGAGTGGACAACACAGGAAGAGAGCCAACAATGGGTCGAGAAGCATTCGGTGAAGTGATGAACAAGAATGGAGAACTGTTTGCAGAATTCCACACATTCAACGATTTGGTGATTGGAGTCAGGCACTGTGTTCAAACACAAGGATATTCACAAGGCACAGACATGGACTTGGTTTCACCAGACACCACAACACACCACACTGAAAATCAAATCAACTTCATCTCAATGTGAAGAGAGTGGAGACGCAGTCAGCCTACTTGACACAAGATCAGATCAAGAAGGGGAGTAGATGTAGGCTCAGACCAGTCAACATCCAATGCAAGCAACCTTCCACATCAAGTTGGAAGCCTTCACAGAAAATGGTGATAGACCACAATTCAAGTTCAACACTCAGAACAGAAATTGAATTGAAGGACGAAACTACGAAGGAAATCTGCACGTCAGCCAGTAATCAGAAGAAAATAGGAGATATAGGGTGACATCCCGGAAGAGAGCTGTGTGGATGGACACTGGAACTGTTTGAAAGAGATGTGTGAAGAAACCTGCATAACCGTATGAAGCAGGGAGAAAAAAAAAGATGAGGAATGGATCTCCACGGACACATGGAAGCTGATAGAGAGAGGAGAGGAGAGGAGAGGAGAGGAGGATGGTGAAGCAGAAGATAAACCAGTGCAGTGCAAGGATGAACAACGAGAAGAGAAACTGAGTACAACGTATAAAACACTACACTGGACAAAAAAGTGAAGAGGAGTGTGCGCAAACACAAAACACACTTCCACGACACACAGGCAAGTGAAGCAGAACAGGCTGCAGGTGGCTGATAGGAGAGAACTGACAACATTGTATCGAATAGACAGGTTACTATCCAACCGGGAAGAGATCAACACAGTTGAAGTCAATGAAAGATGATGAAGGAAATCGAATTAGGAAAGAGGAGAGAGAAAGGAAACGATGGTCTGACCACTTCAAATAAGCTCTTCAATCGACCAACACCACCACCTACACTTCATCCAGAAATACCACCTGCAACCCACCCACAGAACTACTAGTGAACACAAGCCATCCAACGACGAAAGTCGAAGTCCTTATAGCTATGAGGCTGCTGAAATGCAGCGAAGCAGTAGGACAAGATGGAATCTCACTATAGGCACTGAGAACAGACGTAGGGACAACAGCGGAAATACTCACACCACCACTACAGAAGGTTTGGAAGGAAACCAGAGGAAAACCAAGTAAAATCCAGCAAGTTGAGAGAAGCGGCAGGACAGAGCATGGCAGTGAAGACGGACTTCAAGTGAAGAGAAGAGAGTTGAATGGATTTGTGCTACTGAATTCGTATGTTCCACTAGGAACCCAATGGATAAATAATAATAATTATTGGATAAATGATTGAAAAGTAAACTCTTTTGAATTATCAAAGTCTTTCAGTAGTCGGTGAATGAGATCAAGCAAAGAAGATATGAGCTGTTCTAAAGCATCAGGATTAACTTGATAATCTTATGACTAGTGAATCTCTTCAGACTCTATTAACGTGATATAACTCAGGCCGAAAGCTATATATCACCTAGATTGTTCCTCAGTATGATAAATTCCATGTTAATATAACACATTTGGAAGTAATTTATCTCTTCAATAGAGATAATGTTAAATTATTCAAAACTGTGAATGTGTAACTTAAAATATGGAATTCAACTTTTCTTTGAAACGGTCGACTTTATAATTTTTATGAAGTGTAAAATCAAAGTTTGACGTGATAGAATTGAACAACTTCAGTATTGGATAAATGAATTATAAACAGCGTCGTATATTTACATACATATGTGAGATATACAAAAGGATGATAACTTACGTAATTATATAATCTAACAATCCTAATTGGTAATTCCAATTGCAGAACAGGTGAGTTTTGTACTGCTCGTTTATTTTTACGTAATTTAGTATATCCCTCTTGAATAGGATAATAATGGTGACGTTTTTCATAACGAGAACGATAACGATGACTTGGTTGTTGCTCTTCGAAATAATCTTCATCACTGGTATTTTGCAGCCACTGGTCTCGTTTAAATCTTTTACCTGAATTCATGAGATTTGGGACTGTAATTGATAAGGGGATTCTTTCTATTGTCGGTTCATAATCTCCATTGTGTACATAAGCTAAACTCATTAATGATATATGTGGTGGACCAAAATTTACACCATATGCTGGCTGACCATCAAGTAATAACTGTCCAGTTGACTTATTCTTTAAGTGAATTTTCTTCGTTGCATCTATTCTATTTTCATTTGGCCATGATCGAATCGTATAAACAATCATACTTTCATCAATATAACCAACAACCTGTTAGCCATAAATTAATAAAGTAACTTGTAATAAAATTATTCTCAGTATTTTGAAAATTTTCAAGAAATGTCAAACAATGCCACTAAATGACAGTAATGTGTATTACATTGAAAGGAAAACTTACTGTCTAACATAAGTTGACTAAAAGTTGAAGGTACTAACTATTGAAACATCCTTCAGGTTTGACAGTTTTCATCTTCACTTCCAGGTAGGCTATACATGTTCCCAATGTTCAGAAAACGACTAGGGACCTAATTGTTTTCGTTCAATTATTTGATCTACTTCAATTGATGCAAGCGAAAATATTTTTAAGGCAGTATTCGCCAAGAAGTGACATCAGTTAGAAAACCATTGAAAACTTAAGAATACTGGAATGGCCATTTGTCCTAGTATTGAACTGCTCAGCAGAATGCATCCACAATCCCTCCAGGAATCGAACTCTGAACCTTCAGGTCTCGCAGCAAACATGTTATCCATTCACCTGCTAGTAGTTTACAGTTTCCTACTTCTATCAATTCTCAATGTAGCAGACCATCTACAATAGTATTCAATTGGTATCCACTTCACTTCTGACTAACTGATCTCACAGGTCGCAGCTGCGTATTAGAACTTTGGGATATCCATCTCGAAAGAGTCTTATGATATAATGAAACAGTCACTGATATAATAATTAAGCTGAGTTGTGGAACCTCTAATTACTCAAATGAATTTCAGTATTTGGAGCCCTAAATATTCTTGCAATAATCATACTGTTAGATTCTATAACAACCAAAGACTTCGAGTAAAAAACTATGTTAGTCATATAAACTAGAAAAAAGTTTATCCTTACTTGTTCATATTTCACAACACTTAACCAACTTAACTAATACTGATTCACGACCTAGTGATCTGGTTTACAATGACTCCATCCATCCAGATCAGCATACGATCAGGCATTACTGTTCAACGGTCCGAATTACCTCAGTTCGTATCTGTACATCAAGTAAAAGGGCAGTGAGGCACAAGATGAAGATAAGAGAATTCAGTCAAAAGAAATATAAAGTACGAAAAGAGAGAAAGGAAAAATGAGAAAATGGGGAGATTCAGTATAGTGTTAAGATGATGAAAATAATGTGTATATACATCTTCGACACTGACATCGGTTCTGAGCCACATCACCTAGAGTCAGTCTCCAAACACTGGTTCTTCTTGTCCCGCGAACCTCAACCAGCTAGTGTACATCTCCTTACATGGCTCAAACCAACAGACAAAGACTTCATACATTTGTGACATATTTTAGTTTGGCCACCTCGGGCCTTTTCCCAGTCTGAACCTTGTCTGAACACTGTTTGACGAGGCAGTCGGCGACTAGGCATGCGTGACATATGTCTCAACCACCTCAGTCGATGAAGGTTCATAACCTCACCAACTGTATTACCTCTACTCCCTAAAACTCTTTACCTGACTTCTACATTACTCACGTGGTGGTACCAAGAAACACGGTCTTTGCTACAAAGACAACAGTGGTCAAACACCTGAAGTCAGCTTTCCCATGTCTTCCACCCTCAATGGTCATGTTTCACAGCCATAGAGTAGAGGAGACTGGACTGCTACGCAGTACTCGCGACGCTTAATAAACAATCAGATATCACGGTGGCGCTACAGGTGGTATAAGTTGGCAAAAGCCAGTTGAGCCTTTTGTATTCGTGCAGAGATTTCAGCGGCCACTGAGCCACCAGGGCTGATCCTATACTTCTCAGGTAAGTGAAGTGATCGACACACTCAACCACTACACTCTCTGTTGTTAGCCGTGGGACCGTTGAAGACCAATCCTGGAGAAAGAATTTGGATTTGGGTGGTGAGAAACGCATCCAAAACATTCTCATATTGGCATTCAAAGTGCCCAGAAGACTGCGTCTTGCCGGTATCTTCACCTAACGGGACTATGTCATCTGCGCATTCTAGGTCTAACAAAAATTCTGAGATTAGGTCAACTTCTGTGCAGTCAGGCGACGGTTTATAATAACTGATAACAGGAGAGCAAACAATTTCATGCTGCCTAGTCCTAGATGCTGATTGAATTCTATCGATCATTATACTCAGCAACACGGTGCACTTTTGCTGATATTTGGTGGTTAGAATCCAGCAGAGGGAACCTAGTTAGGACTTACGAGCAAAGTGTATCTGGAACCTCGAAAGAACTGATGTTCTCTCCAACATTCGATGACATATCACCGAGTGCTTTAGTGAGTGACCTTTCTATTGACTTATTCAAACTGTCATTGACCTCCTGTTGGACTGGACTAGGTACATAGCATAGTTACCAGAGGGTAATCAGCTTCATATTGTTTGGGCCTAAATGAAACAATAAGCAACAAGGAACTCTGACTGGGTGGTAATGAATCAACCAAGAATCCATTGCCCAACAAATATGTAGAAGAAAGTGGAGATGGATTAGATCAAGCATACACTGAGGAAACCATCCGGGGACATCATGCACCATGCCAGGTCAGGTCATCGACTAGAACCGAAATGGGAAACGACGAGTTGTGTGTCCGAGGTGAGGGTGACATTGAGGAGATCATGTGAGGAAGAAGTTATAGCTTGTTGGCAGTTGAGGAGCCAGGTTGAGAAGACTGTACTGAAGAGAGTGAAATAGAAGCGTGCTATTGAATCTGTATGTTCAACTAGGAACCCATGGAACAGATACTAATAAGCCTGAATGTCTATCGAATTGTATCTAATTTCCTTGTAATCAATAAGTACAGACAGCATACAATAAGCATTGTATAACGTGAGCTTTTGTATTCATTGGAATTATTGGTTTGAAGCCCATGGAACTATGTTGAAAAATCTATACCTTTTGGCTGTTTTCTTTTCAATCATTTAGTATCGGATTCAGTTTGTAACGATTTCAAGTTAGTTAGCTTATTGACAACTTGATGTATCCTGGATTCTCTATATGTAAGTGAGTAGATACTTGAATACTGACCTTCAGGTTCCACCTTTGATAATCCCTCACTTCATCTGTTAATAGAAAAGGTGGTAGGATAACAAAAGGTATATCAGACCGTGAGAATATCTGTGCAAAATACAACCGTTTTTATGTGTTTAAATCTTTCCTTACTATTTTTAGGCCTTTTAAGTGTGTAATATCCTTTTGATTTCTACCTCCTGAATCAATCTGTTACTTACAATTTAGTTCATGTACTTTTTGTCGAGACAATACGATTGGTTGTGAAAGACTTCGGGCTTTTTAAGAGGATCTGTACAATATTTTAGCCCATTATGGCGTAATTTTACTAATTCAAGGGAAGAAAACTAGTGAGTATATTAAAATAGACAATATGAATTCTATAGTAATGATGGGCAGTGGCTAGCAGTAGAATTCAGGATGCGCAATTCGTCCCGTTTGGGACTCATCAGCTGGATGTACCCACCTCCCAGCGAGTGATGTTGTTCCCACCGGGATTCGTTTTCCGGAGCGATCGCTTCAAACGCGAGAGCGTTATCCACCACACCACTTAGCCAAGATAGCCACTTCTTGTGCGACAACACCAATATCAATTTTAATTTTATATTTTCGCCGAGCAGCGTCTACAATTGCTTGTTCTGTACTTTAAAAAAGTTTTCGAATCCCAAGTTTTAAATGATCTTTATTAGTCCCATTAGTTACAACTGTTTCCTGGCAGACAGTTTTGGTATTCAAGTATATGTAACTAACCATAATAGATACAAAAGTCTTCTGGAGGTCTTTGTCATGATTTATCTATTACTACCGTCATTAGGTACCAAATAGTGATGTCCTACACAATTTGATCGACATATTTTTACTTAGTAGTTAAGATTAGAGTATTCATTGGGACTGTCTTAAAGACTACTAATATAAAAACAATTTTCACTTACAGACCCAGTACTGATTTAGATATTTATTTAAACAAATGTCAAGGTCAGTGTATAAAAATCAATCTGACTGCCAGAAAGTCAACCTACTTTGAAAAAAATAATTCGCTTTTCAAATAATTTTGGGTAGAATTCTTGAAATATTTTTCTCATAAGTTTTGAAAATATTCAACATTATCGAAACTTATGACCCTCAAAAAAATTTAGTTTTGGAAAAAAAAAATTAACAATGATGTTACAAATTTCATACTGCATATTTCAAGTGTGTTTCCCTTGCACCAACTTTAAGTTTATCCAGAAAAATAGTTTAATTATAATCAGTAGGGAAAGTAACACAAAATCAACCTAATAACATAAGAAAGTAGAAGAAACATTGAAAGTTGAATATTCAATTTTCAATATAATTAACATTCGAGTTATTTATTAGTATAATTTTAAGAAGTTTGAAATTTTACTAAATAATTTTACAAGAAAATAAATGACTGTCAATGCTATTGGTCATAACACAAAAAAGGCGCCTTTATATTGTATATTAAATGAAGTCAAAAAAAAATCAAAGAAGATGGAAAGATAAGATGGAATAGCATAATAAAATAAAGAATGACTGCAACAAGCAAAAGTATCCACATTTACCTAGTTAAATGGGTGATTTATAGTACCAACTGACTATAAGTGAACCATATTTAAAGATATATGGAATAGGCTAGTTAACATTATCCGAACATAAGCATTTTTCTCGTTGTCATATTTTCCTCTATTTAATCAGTTTTCTGTGAGTTGATCACTTGGTGCAATCATCACTTACAAGTCAATGTGTGTTTTTTTTTAGCTTTTTGTCATTTCAAATAAGGAGACTAGTTCTTTAGTGACCACTCTGTAATATGTTAATAGATATACTAGTAATGATGATGATCACTATAATAGAATAATAATAATAATAATAATAACAGGAAACTTTCAAAAACATTCTTCACTTCCAACTGAGATTATGAAAAAGAGTCAAAAGTTGGACACTGGTTAAAAACATATGTGTAGACATAAGCAACTTGTAGACTGACATAAAAGCGGTAAAACATATATAAAGGCAGCATAGTTGAAACGAGAAATGTTAAAAA